AATCCAGATACTATATCCCAGATGGAGACAAGTATCACGCAACAACATCCAAACCTTAATCCGAACAAGTATCAAGCAATTTTTTAAAATAATTCCTTATTGATAGAAGTTTGTCTATTTTAAAATTTACATATAGGACAAAAGGCCAAATAGAACAAACCAGGTAGTAATTACGAAATTAAGCATAAACATAATACTTAATCAACAAATTAGTCATAGTTATTTTTGTAAATTTTAGAATCTATGCATATTAACAAGAACCCTTGTATGGCTATATTTGCAAATAAATCCTTAAAATTTAATATTTACAAATATACCCACGCATCCACATTTGATCATCCATAAATGGGGCTTCTTCCTATATGTACACAGCTCTAAAAAGATAGAAGAGCTTCATGTATGGAAGGGTTTCACCCTCCTTGATTAGAGAGATAAACACAGAAAAAAATCTAAAGATGGTAAGACCGTAAGACTAAACCATACACATTACTTCAATAAGGTGCTCATTCAATTCTTTGAAAGATACTTTTTTTTCTTTTATTAGGACAAATGATATTACTTTTTATAGAAAACAAGATGATATTATTTGGGGTTTATAATCCATATTTTATCCTATTTGCAGTACTTTCTTGAGAGGAAGAGTGTGCTGGCCAATTTTAAAAATCATTTTTGGGTCCCCTAGATTGGAGAGAAATAGGAAATTAAGTTATTTTAAATCAAAAATGTATTCCATTTCCCAAACATCAATTTTTCACCTAACCAGCTTTCCTTTAGGGTGAAAGAAAATATTAATCTAAATTTGTGAGAATTCCATACAGAACACACTCCAAAAAGGTATAGCAAGATCACAAGAATGAAAAATCCACTCAGGTCAAGGTATTGTGAGATAAAACCCTTTGCAAACCTTTTGTTCAACGGATACTGTCTTAAGGAGGTCTGAATTAATTACATTAAATACATTAATGCAGCATAGTCATATAGAGCATAAAAGAGTGTTAAGTTATATCTCATCTGAAAACATGCATTGTAATCTCAAATATCTTCATTTGAAATTTCAGTTAACGCACATTTTAAGGTTTTCATTATATGTCATTTTCTTTCCTCTCTGGGTCATAAATAAATGAGCTTTACTGTTCAAATGAGAAAATTAGAAGAACGTGTTATATATGCAAGAAATGAAACTTCAGTGGATCTTAGGACTCCCAAAAAAGAAATACTTTAACAAATCTGAAAAATCATTACTGAAAGTAACAAATTTTGCAGACAGAAAAACTAAGCAAATATAGCAAGTTAGCAAACAAAACTATAACTTTTCTCAAAGAGAAATGGTCACCTCTCCAGCTTGCACAGTGATTACATGGGGAGTGAAACCAATTCCAGTCGACCCTAACAACCAGAAAATCCAAAAGACAAATCAAAAAAAAGTAAAGGAGGTGGCTTTATGGCAGAACTATAAGAACATAAAAATCCGGTATATACCAACGGCGTCCAATTGCCTCTTCCCGGAGCCCGGAGGCCTCCCGCGGGCCTTCTTCGGCTGATTCTCCGATGAGTTATTCGGGGCAGCGCTACTAGTCCCTGTCCCACCGCCAGAATCTCCGTGGCCTGCCATCGAGGAAATCGGAGAGACCGGCGCGGGAGAAAGGGCCAGAGCAATACCGCCGTCAGGGGAGTACTTTCTGGGGCGTCCTCTCTTCTTCTTGGTGGTGGGCTCAATGCCGAACCCAGCAGTCCTCTGGGAAGATCCGTCGGCGTATTCCACGGCGGTGGGCGGCTGAACGGTCTGAACCGAACCCGAACCCATCATGGAATTGAACGGAAAACGAGGGTTTTGCTGCTGCTGCTGAATAGATTGCTGTTGTTGCATCATGGCATTGTTGGGCATGCCGTAAGAGTTCGACTGGTGCGGTGGTGCCGCCATCATAGTGTGGCCGGATTGCGGTGGTTGCGCGTGGTGGAATTGAGCCTGGGGATGGTGGGAGTCTTGGGAATCCATCATTAATTGCTCGTTAGCAGTTCCAGATAGAGAGAAAGAGTGTGTTATTTTCCTGATAATAAAAATGAAAAATGAAAAATGAAAAACTGGGTTATGGATATCGCAATGTGGGTTCAGATTTTTATTGGTTTTAGGCGCTGATGATGAAACCTACTGCAACAGTACTTGCAGTGGAAGATGGGAAATCTCGAAATGGATGACCGAAGAAAGAGAAGGCGGAGTACATTTCTAGGGTTTTCTTAATTTCTTTCATATTTTGGTTGGTTCTTATCTAGTGCATGAGAGCAATATATGGCATGAGGCATCCTACCTAACCATTAGATCTATATGAGTTTGAAATTGATTTTGCTTTCTATTTTTAAAAGTAGAGTTTTGGTAACACTGTTTATGAGGTTTACTACTTCGTCCCTATTTTATCTTTCAAATAGGTTTGGCACGGAGTTTAAGATAGTGAGTATTGTGTGGTGGAGAGTTGTGCAGAGGAGAGAGAAATGTGTAAGAATTGTTGTGAACCACAAATTCTGGCCAAAAAAAGAAAGTGGAAGTTTTAATTGGGACGGACGAAAAAGGAAAGTTGGAAGTTTATTTAGGGACGGAGGGAGTATGAGACAATTTTTCAACCAAACTCGTATATTTTGGTTTCACGCATTGAATTGTGCAATAAAAAAGTAAGAACATAATTACTTTTGTGATTATATTGGCTGAAGTTACTTTATACTACCATTTTAAGTATTTTTCATGTAATTTTTTTCTTTATTTCATTGATAAATATATTTTAAGTATACTTTTTTATAAATCGGCAGAATCAGCCAATACAGCCACTTAGCCAGAACTTCATAAATTTCAGCGGAATCAACCGATTCACCCGATTTCAGTTTACTAAACCGGCACACAGACTCAAATTCTTAAGAATCTATCCTTCCAAATTTAAAAAAAATTATTTGTGTGAACAACTTGGAGCATTCAAAAATACTTTTACACTTTAACTAAAGCACTTCAATATACTCCGTATGTTTCTACTCTCTAAATGCGCAAAACAGTTCTAAGAAATAGATCCAAACCCTTCATATTATAGTGAATTCAATTTACATTCTCTAAAGTTGTGTCACAAGTTTTGAAACCCCAAGTGGATGTGTCGTCTTTTTTACATAATGCACATATTATTTTAACGTTCTTATTAGTGAACCTTGTATCATGCGTGCAACATTTGGTTATGTGCCTCAATTCTGAAATAATCGAAAAATATAAGGATAGAAGTTATTTTTTAGGCTGAATTATTTGATATTACTTTAGAGAATGAGCTTAGTTATTTTCATATAATTTTTTCTTTATTATATTAATAAAAGATATTTCTAATTGTCAAGTGTGAAGTTACTCAAGGGTAAAGTTACTTTTTAGCTAAATTATAGAAAAAATGGTATAAATTAATAAATTTATTATATTAATAAAAGATATTTTTTAATTTTCATATTTCGTTAGCACTCCAGATAGTATTTATTTTACTTAAAATGATAAAAATAATACTCCGTGTAGAAAGAAGTTTGAAAATTGAAATGATATGCAAGAAAAATCTACCATACGTAGTACTCCGTATATCTTTTCTGCAAAGTGGCATAGTTAATTATTTTGAAATTGTAACTAAGAAAGAAAGAGAGAGGGGCAAAGAGAGCTAGCTAATTGAGTAAATGTATCATCATCCGATTCATCCGCACGTTACAGGCGATATTCATACGCAAGCAAGAGCCTTGCATTTACTGAGAAAAGCTCAATTGCAAACCATTAATAGTTAGTTGGGAAAATGACCAGTAATTAGAGGTCTGGACTGCTACTTTGAATTGAATCTATCCTCAAATGACCATGGTCTTATAGAGTAATTATAGACAATTATGGGTTGGCTCATCCGAGACGTGATCACTTCATGGTGCATCCAAAGCATGCCAAGACCCACTTCGAGGTTGCAACCTGTAAACCCAATTTTTGTAGGTAGAACAAAGTGACATGGAATAATGGTACTAAACCAAAATACCAAATATCTTGTATTTCAACAGTTTTGATAGACTTTTATTCGAAAGGAACCGTATGAAACTGATTCTAGATTTTAAGAACTGAAAAAAACTAGACCGGAAAGTTCAAAAATAATACTTCCGTACATTTGGGTTTTTATATTTTAATTCCTAATTTCAATAAATCTTTTGTTTGACCTATAAACTTATAGTCGAAGTATGCATTCATTCATCCCAAAAATAGCTAAATGTGTGTGTTTATATAAATTTTATTATTCATTCCTTATGGATAAGTTATGTTATATTTGGCATCGATCGCAAAACTAAACATTTAAAAATCATTAATGACCAATAACTTCTACTACTGTAGTATACATGACTATTTGTTGCATCATATTTGTGTAGGCTTGCAACTTAATTAGTACGTAGTAAGATTTATTTTTTAGCTCCCACGATGCAACTATGACGAAAATGAAGATGAAAATGATGTATTTTTCTATCATATTCAATATGTAATGATATTCTTTTATACCTTAACGTAAATTTAAAGAAGATGATGTATATCTCATTTATCATAATTTTGCTATATTTTTCCATTCTTGTGTAGAAGTGTAGAACTATTTGTGTATTAGCAAATTTAAATACAAAAATGTAAGACTTTGAATTTTTCATAGCATTTAGTACTTTTTTTCTATCAATAGTTCATGTAAACTTGTCCATATCATGATTTTTGCAATATTTTCCCAAAAATTTTAGATTATTTTGACATTGTAACATACCATTTTGAAGTGGTATGCTGCTACTAAATGGTTCTAATTTTAGAACCGGCTCGTACCGAACCATTTGAAATCTCACAGGTACATTACAGATTTTGCTAACTTATCAAACCGTTCCAAATTGCATTTTACAGGTTTTACAGATTTTAGAACCGGACCGTACCGAACCAAACCATATCATCACTAACTTTTCACCACGCAAAAATGTGACATGACACATTAAATGGATAACATCTTTCAAGGCATGCGTCTATGAAGGGGAAGAAGACAAGGGTCCGAAGCTAATGGATGCGGTTCTTTCAATTAAAAAAATGCACATGAAATAATTATCACTGTTTTTCTGGATCATGGAAAAGAACTACAATAAATATCACCAAAGTATGATGAACAAACCATGAAGTAATAATTACAGAGAGCAATGGCTAAAAAAATAAGAGAACCTGCACTCCACACTTTAGTCCATATAGAATAAGATAGCCTTTACACTATGAGAGGCTCTAGCAGACATCCATATTGTATAGTTTTGAAGTTGCATGCATCTACTTGAAGGCAAGGTGTGATGAAGTTCCATAGAATGCTTTAAATTCTCAATTATAGAGAATTTTAACAGCACTGGTTAGTACTCTCTCTCCCCTCTCCCTCTCCTAGCACCGAATCTCATAGGAGCCAGCTTTGGTAATGTAACGAACCCATTCAACAGTGTTATACCCACTCTTCTCCCACACCTGCAGATGGTATAGGGAGAGGTAATGTAACAGATCCATTGGTGTATATGATAGCAATCATCGTTCAATATAATTATCTTTCACTGAAAAGGGGATTGACTATCCATAAAAGTGAATATATTAGGTAAAACCAACCTTTAGAAAACGAACACGTAGCCCAGATGCTGTAAACATGGGAACCTGTAAATACACATGCTAAGTCATATTGTACCCAACGAAGTGTGAAGGTGTAAGCTGTGTTTAGACAAATAAAGAAAACCAAAGTAGCGAGCAGGGAAAAGGGTGGCCCACACTTGAGTTCACAAGGGAAGTAGCTTATATGGCTTATGAGTTTTATCATTTAGATTTTCTATCGCAGACCAACTTATTTTACTTCATTAGCTGAATGTGTTAATAATAATAACAAGTAATGCACGGAATCACTATTGATTTATTTCCTAAATCATTTCAGCCACAATATCGGCATAAACAGTTCATTTATCCATTTAAGCCCACATTTAAATCTAGGTAGTATGAAAACGGGAAGCACTTAAAATGTGATATAAACACACACACACTTATATTTTTTTTGGATACATCAGAAAAGAAAAACCCAATAAAAAATCTGATATATATTCATAGATACAGCATAAAAATCAAAGAACTATTAGTTTAATAATTAGTAATGGTATTTCTAAAATATAAAGTTCATACACAAGTAAAAATGTATTCTTACGTTTGAAAGTTCTTGTTAGTTGAAACAATATAGAACTTTATGGTTGCATTACTTGCATTGTATAGTCTTATAGAAATGTACTTTACATAAGAAAATACAATACTGATCGGCTACTTTATTTGAGAAAATTTTCCCAAATCATTTCGTTATTGACAGAAATGACCTGAAATCATTACATGCGAGTTTCAGCGAATTTCAGTTTCTAAAACATTTACGAATCTAGAGACATTATCTACTGGGTTTTCATACACCATAGATTAATCTACTATACTGATATACCCATGTTAGCTCAAGACCGTCACAGCAGAGAATTGTTTACAAGGTTCTGGGACACATTATCCAAAAGAGTATCACTCATCATCATCATTATCATTACCTCAGTGCCGCAAAGGCTCCCACCTACAGTGGAGTAAGGAGGGTCAGATGTACGCAGTCTTACCCATGTGTTTTAGCACAAAGAGACTGTTTCCTGATGACCCATTGTGAAAATCGCGTCGAAAATTACATGGGCTGACTGTTGCTTCATAACAAAAAAGCGCAGACAGTTTAGTGAGCCATTTTGCTTTATTCCATCATATTCCCAAAGCCAAAAAATAGTGATTCTTTGGCTCCATTTCAAATGATGAAACGTATCCAAAAGAGTATCACTACAACAACAATATCCAAGCCTTAGTCCCAAAAAATATTGGGGTCGGCTAACATGAATCGATACATGATATCACCACTAAAAGGAAAAGAAAGAAAATAAAGATAAAAAAAATAAGCTAATAAAAAAAATAATATAAAACGAGATTAATATACCTAAGAATGATTAAAAAAAGGATAAAAATAATGTTTATATATATAAGGATAAAAGAATTTTAAAAAAAAAGAGGAAGAAAACTATGAGGGGAAAAAATAATATGAGATCACTCCTCCACACGAATACCCGCCCTCCACCTTGCTCACTCCAAAGTCATACCCTCATCCAACCCAAGAAGAAGCATATCACTTTGGACTCTCCTAACCCACGTCTGTTTGGGTCTTCCTCTCCCTCTCTTCCCTGCCTCTTCTCCACACATCTCAACACGCCTGACAGGTGCATCACTCGGTCTTCTACGCACATGACCAAACCACCGTAGGTGAGACTCCCGCATCTTGTCTTCAATAGGTGCTTAAGATAAATCATTGGATTGCGTATCTTGACTTTTTGAGACCCAAGCTCGTATAGCAAGTGTGTTTCATATTGATATTTTACATTAAAATAAAAATAAATAAGTAGATGAAATTCATATAATCTAATTTCAATGCACCCCACAAAAAATGCCACGATCAATAAAATATACTGATAATGTAAAATTAATAATCTATTACAGAAAAGACAAAGCCTAGTACCTGAAATTCCATTTGAATCGGTGGCCGAGTCAATGATTTCTTCTCCGCTATAGTAGAAATCAACTCTACTTCAGCACTCAGTGTTGACTCAGTCTGTCCAGGGAATTTTCGTATCCTGCAGCAAATATATGCAAGGTTACATACTTACAACCACTGGCATAGCTGGGGGGCATGACATGTCCAGGCCCACCCCAAGTTTGGTAAAAACGCTTTATTTCTTGATTAAAAAACAGTAAAAACATTTATACGAATGACGTCTTGTATCCAGCCCACCCTAAAACTTCCACCTGGCTATGCCACTTCTTATAACTATACATGCTTCAACAATATATGCTAGTGTCATGAGAGTCAACCTCTCACCACCACCACCACCACCACTACCTTAGTCGCAACTATGTTGGGATGGATTGGTAGCATGAAATTTAGTGTTACTATTGTGTATGGTTAGTTAAATAGATAACTTTATGCACAAAGTAGTGACAAATTTAGATAAGTTTCAGATGACGCTCCTATACAAACTCTCATATCCAACCATCAATAGTCTAAAGAAGGAAAATGAGATGAAATTTCAAAACCATCACTATAGGTTTTTCCGGTTTGCATGGAAAATTTCATTTGACATTGGCTGGACGAGATAGTAACTACTAACTATAGTCATGTTGCATGGCAAAACTTATGTATTAAAACCAACATGCACATAATTGGGCATGTCTGTGATGGTCTCTGATAAAAATTTAAGAATAATGCAGTCATCATTACAGTGAGAAGAACGGGTTAAAGACAAGCCATAACTGCAAGAAAATGGAATTTCAGATAGTATAGGATCACTGGTTTACAACATATTAAGTGGATGGACTAACAAAAACATTATCATCAAAGATGATGTACAGGCGTATAGCATCAATAAACTACTCCCTTTGTCCCATTGGACTTTGCCAACTTTCCTTTTTTGTTTGTCTCAAAAACTGTCGCTTTCCTTTTTACTTTTTTTATTTCACGCCCAACTCAATGTCCAATAGAACAGAGGTAATATCACACACATGCATAATTATATATATATCATCAACTAAATAAAGGTACTCACTTCCAGACTAAACAGTCAATAGAGGGATTATACTTTGCTCTCCCTGATGTCACCTGAAAATTTGCTTTCGCCGTTTGCTTTGGTACTGGAATTTTAATCACAACTCCAAGTGCAAACATTTTAGCACCAAAGACACTCTTAACCTGAAAGAAAATATGCATATGGAATTATATACTTCAACTAAACAGGAAAGTTGTAATTGATTGCTATCACACTCAACAGGCCTATTATAATATATTGCTTTTATAAAGAAAAGGTAATCATCAAACCTTTACGTTCACTTCCATGCGTGTCCGCCCTAATTCATTGATAGTTGGCAAGACACGGAAAGGAAGATTTACACCTTCAGTAATACGATACCTGCAAAGAAAAGTGATTAAACTAGAGATCCAGGCGGTCAAGCCCAGCCAACATAAGCCACATTGAGGGGTTTTCCTTCCATTTTGCTAATAATGGAGAAGGATATTTTTAACCATATTACATTTGCAACAAATGCAAAGCACATAAAATTCATTCAATTTAAATAAGAATTGTATACTCTTATGCTATATCAATGAATTGTAATCTGTATAGTACTAAGGAATTCTCTTTTTCTTAAACTGTTAGTATTCTAGATATGGAAACTGCAGATCTAACCTTTTGCTTGATCTTGCCCCTTAAGTCCTTATGTACTAGAAACATATAAAACATACACAAAATGAATTACTGACTTACTTCATCAGTTCAAATTCACCATCAGGAGGAACGAAACTGACAGTCTTCTCTGAGTTAAATCGTGTCAAGTTTACACACTGATGGAAAGTGACATCATCAAGCTCAATAGTCTTTCCACTGCTTCAGGCAGATAAATAGGTAAGAAATCATTCATAACTAAACAATAATGGATATGCTCAGGCAAACTTTATCTAATGCCCAAATATGTCACTGTAGTGAAGAATTTGAGAGATTTAATAAAGGCACACAATGAAAGAGATGAGCCAGAAAAGGATACCTCTTGGTTGGCCGGGCTTTTAGTTGTGACTCTTTCTCAAGGCCAATTTTATCATTTAAGCCCAATTTTAGATCGGGCATCCCAGAAAGGAAACACTTCATGAGGATTTTTCCAGTAACATCACACCGTAGAACACTACCTACAATAGTAACATTCAAAATAAAGCCGGATATGAAATATATTGTGCATAACTACTGACTTCTCACTTACCTTTAGAAGACATGAGAAGATTGACACTTTCCACAATATCCAGAAACACCTATAAACAACAAATATGACAATTAAATATGATTGTTACCTATCAGAAAACTTGCCAATTATCACAATGATCACATTGAAAAGGCATCTAAAAACTTCAGTAAAAAGAACTCACCTCATTCTTCTTGTATACAAGTCCCTCCCTGCGCCAGCCAACAGCACCAGTGACTTGTAACGTTGCATTGGGGACTGGCCTATCAACAGGCTGTTTAATAATATTTAATATTTTTTTAAATCAAAAGAAAAATAAGACAGTAAGACACACATATAACAAGTATTCTTTCCCCAAATCATATAATTATTGAAATGCTATTCTTGGATTTACTTTTAAGTCAAATGTCAACAGCATTACCTTGGACGAAAATGGAGAGCGCACACCTTCCTGAGTAATGTAGAGTTTCAAAATTTCAGGTGAAAGATTTTGGGGGTAACCGAAATCCATTATCTCTGTAAGTTGGCCGTATTAAAATTTCAGAAGACATTATAGTGACATGGAACAGAAGTCCGGAACAAACTACAGTTGTGAATCATGTGAGTTGTGACTACAAATAAAATTTATCAATGTTGGTGCCTACATATAAAAAGCAATAGACCCATGTACATATGTAAGCGGTATCACAATAACATCATAAGCCAAATTCTGGATTGTCCAAGAATGGCATGCTGTGTTAGTTGGATGCTTGCAAGAAAATGACCGTCAATTCATTTGAGAGACTTAGAGTCGTAATAATCAATTGTAGCCAACAATTTAGCATCCACGTCAGGTCCCAATTGGTAGAAAACTGACCCATCTCATTGATTATTCATAACTACAGCATGATAAGCTGCCTTCTTCAAATGTAACTTATGTAAGGCGGTAAGGCCAAACTTGTTCAGCAATCATCAAAGGCCGGCAGAATACTTAAAACTAAGTGTCTTGATATTAGAGTGTAGAACTGTAGATACATTCACCATCATCAATTTAAGCACCTTAATCCCACATACTTGAGGTTATCAGGTTGGTGGCACAAAATTCACAGTCAACTTTAATTCATTAATACTATAAATTCAAGCAAAAAAAACAGTGTAATGTTTTATGCCGAATGTCATTCCTGTTTCAACCATCATAACAAGGAATAATGAGAAGAGATTTCTACAACTGTCATCAACTCATCATCATAGTGCATTTCCACATGCATGCAAAGTATCAGTCTAGATGTGTTGAACAATTTAAAAAGCATCAGCACTAAAAAGTGAAAAATGAGCACATTGTTGCTAAGCGAAAACTTCACCACTTTATTAAGCAATCACAGTTCTCTAACAAAAATATCTGAGGTAATATCAGTATATGAGTAGCTATAACTATGGCATACCATCCAAAAGTTCATAGATCAAAACAAAATTGTTGCGGATGGCATCTTCATCAAAAGCTCCACCGAAATATGATTTAAACAAGGATACTGCCTGCACAGAAGTCAAGTATATTCCCACACAATTAAAAAATAACTCAGGTTGAAGCATCCATCTAATAAGAATAAAACCACAAGTTGTTAGTTCCAACAAACTATTTAGTTATTACTTTACTGTCTTATGCCTATGTAAACCAGCCAACAGGGTCAGATATGAAGGCATTTAATTCCAGGTTTTGTAACATAATGCACCTTAGTATTATTATATTGAATTAGAGATTATCAAGCTAGAAAAGCTACATTAAAAAGTTACTCATTATAAGTAAGGAAAGGAGAAAACACAAGGAGCTTGTACATATATGGCATGTACAGGTAAATGAAAAACAAATTTATTTTGACATAACTAACATAGTTCAATGCTTTCATGCCCGCGTGCGGAAAGGACTATCATTGTGCAAATGATAGCATTTTTTAATTATTTAATAGATAGATACAGTGATCTATATCAACAGTCCATATTTGCAGAGCTGATACTCAATAGCACCTTTCTAGGAAGAACAACTTTCTGACACAAAGGAGAAAAGGCTGACTATCCTAACATATGTAACAACAGTAAGTGACCACTGACCTCAACAACAAACTTGAAAGCACAAGCAACATTAGCGTTGCTGCTGACAACAATCACTATATAGACATTACTAATTCTCATAAACAAGAAAGAGCAGCCTCCTATCTGTCTCACTGGACATGTGCCAAGTTCTTTTGTCTGCATTATATGAGTACGGAAGGCATCTACCATGTTTCCCCTGTTAGCATTAAAAGATATAAGTTATAACCATTACACAAGCAGAACCATGTATAAGTACAACACATATTCACAAGAATATAAGATACAAGAGGATTATAACTTGTGCAATAATATTTACTCCATATTATTGTTACATAATTAAATATTAGAAGAAAAAAACAACTTCCGCATTGGATTTCTTTTCAGTTATATGAGTATAATATCCCAGAATGGAACAACATGTCCAATTTCTAAAGATAACCATTGGAAATGCATATACTCAAGAAAACGCAGATCTTAGTTTCCTACTGAATGTTGCAACTTACAATTGAAATGAAGAGTTTCTCAGCTGCAAAATCATTTATAAATTAAGGAGCACTGGGCAGTGGACAGTAAAAACTCGTTACAAGAAGCTTCAAAGTTTTACCAAGTTCAACTCTTTTTCACAATTACCCATCCATTCTCTTAAGGGAATGGAAATTGGAAACCAAACAATACATTTTTGCTCTAATTCGTCAAAAAGGGAAAATAAACCACCAAAAGAACCTCAACTCCATAGAATCACATGACTAAAACTCAATATCATCGCGCGGTAATTTTTCTAAATTCCTAAAGCCCCAATAAGAAAGCTACCATAAAAAAAACAGCATACACAGTTACATGCACATAGAGAAGTCCGAGAGAGCAGACCCGACGTCATCGCGGTAGAGGCGGTTGATAAGGATATCGCCCCGGAGATTTATGAAGTATATTGCAGAAGCTGCAACCGGCATGGCTGCAACCCGGCAGATCAGACTCCAGATCAGCAACTATCACGATGCGAAGAGCCTGGATCGGGTCGGATCTACTATTAGCCAGCAGAATCCAGAAATGAGAAGAGGAACTTAAGAAATGGTGACTGCTTTCTCAAGGATGCTTCGGAATCGTAAAACAGTCAGCTCAAATCGCAGTCTCTTAGTTTGAATTTTCATCGACGTTGGAAAAGTTGGGTGATTAGTAATTTCTATGTGCATCTCATTTTCATCACCTTTGACAGTGGACATAGTTTGATAATCTCTATTTTAGACTAGCTTGGTAATTTTTATTTTCGATTTACTACGTACTACCTCCGCCCCATTTATATCGTCCGGAGAGGGTGACACGATTATTAAAAAAGTGAGTTTGTGTGGTTGATATTAATTGATAAAGTAAGAATAAAGTAAGAATGATTTAGAGTCACACAAACTTTGTCAAATATGATATGAGACAATTTAAGTGGGACTTCCCGAAAAGGTAAAACGGGACAATATAAATGGGACGGAGGGAGTACGTGTTAATAGTTTGATACTCCGTATTGTATAGGGGTGTTTGGAACTCATTCTACTTCTCCTTTTTTTAAAAGCAGAAGCAGAATCAGAATCAGTTTTCAGAAGCTGGTACTCCTCAACTTCTAAAAAAACTGATTCTGAGAGTAAATTAGAGCACCAAAAGTGCTTCTGGAATTTCACCCAAACACTCCAGCTTCTGCTTCTGCTCCCTGAAGGAACAGAATCAGTTTTGAGAATCAGATCCAAACACCCCCTCAATTGTACTCTTTGGTCCCATTTTTGTTGATCAAATTTGACTTTTCAAAACAATAATATCTAATTTTAATTGATTATATATTTATATATAATATGAAAATGATATGAAAATGTTCTTTTTAAAAAAATACCATTGTTGAGATTTATTCTTTCAAACTCCAAGGACCCAACACTTTCCCTTGGACTTCGTTGAATATTTTGGCTGATTGATTGTAAGATCAAAGGCACAAGTACTTTAGCAAGAAAAGAGAAAGGCAATAAGTGGGTGAGTTCCATTAAATGATCAAGAACAATTAAAGGCTAATAAAGCATAAAGCTAGTGAATACAAGGTGTCAGCCCTTAACAATGAAATAAATGTTACTCCTTCGTCCCATTTTGGATGTTTAACTTTCCTTTTTGGGTTGTCCTGATTGCCTCGCAACAAAAATCTAGCAACTAAGGTAATCAAAACTAAGAACCTATCACCCTTATTATTTGACCTAATGAAAACAAAATAAAGATTAGCAAATAGAATATGGAAAAAATAAATAAATTTCAGCTGGTGGAACTGCGAAAACCATTCTTCAACATCGTCTTCCAGCCTCTAGTCCCCCAGTTTCGCTATGGCGGCGGTTCAGGGGGGGAGTGAATCATCCACATATCATCTTCTTTCTCTACCACCTGAGGTGGCCAAAACAAATACGCTGATCCCCCAACCATCCGCCAGGAGCCCAAATTCACCCTTTCCACTGGACCCCAAGCCGTCAGTGTTCCACCCGGATCAAACACAGCTAGTGCAACTTCCATCTCAATCATCACTGAAGCCAAAATAACCAAGCCAAGCATCGGACAATCAAGCCTCGCAACCCTAGCCGACGCAGGTCCATGGCCACCTCCGAAAACATTGACGACTCTCATGGCTTATTGCGATCGTCGAAACCGCGTCGCCGGGATCCTCTTCGATGTGATGGCCCCTACTTGGCGCAGGCCAGACCCCCGCTACTCAACGCACCCTCACCCAAATTCACACTTGAATGTTATTTTCAGTCTTTGGAATAACCCCAGACAGGTCAAAAAGATTCCCCAGAACAGCTCGGACGAAGAGGATGAAGAATGTCCATGTTTTCAGTTCATCTACAGCCCTAATAACCGATCTTCTGTTCCCAATCCCCTCCTGCGTTCTTTGGCTGAAATTGCGATTGGTTTCAGCAAAAACATGTCATTGCCACAACGCCCTCCCTGCTTGACGCACCTAGGAATTGCGCTAGAATCTCCTGTCCAAACTACGCCGGAGAAGACCTTTGCGTAACCAAACTAACCCTAGACTCACTAGGCTCTTCCTCCGTCCCAAAATGGATGTTATGTTTCCCCTTTTGTAAGAAATTTGTAGTCCATATTATTTCACTTCATTATATTCAAATCTCAACAACAACTTTTACTTTTCAACCACTTTATTAACAATCGTGCTAAATTGAAATGAGGCAACCATTATAGGACAAAAGTAATAATATTTATACTACCATAGAGTGGGTGGTAGTGGTGATGTGGAGTATTATGAATGGCTGATCCCCAACCAGCAAATCTTGTGTATCTGGTGCATTTAATGGGTTTCCGCCTAATTCCTTGCTTTCCCGCCAATCATACTGAGCATGTCGGTTGATGCTTCCCTGATTGCTAGCAAAATGACACAAGGACTTCTGGCCGCACGATGCGTGCCGTCTCGGCTAAGCCGAGTGGGCTCAGGGACTTAGCGGGTTTCTGGTACCAATTCTTCATCGGGTATTACACCCTCCGTATTATGCCAATTACCCCCAACAACTATCATAAAAGTATAAAATTACGAGTATTAAATTTTGCATAAATATACTAGTTAAAATAATTAATCAAAATTTATCATCTTTGGCTCAGAAAATCAAATATGACTAACTAAAATCGGACTGAAGTAGATGGAAGTAATATAATAAATCAAACAAGTAAAATTGGAGTTACTTATCTAACTAAAATGGGACGGAGGTAGAAGAGGTAGTATAATAATTCAAACAAGTAAACTTGGAGACACTTATCTAACTGAACTTACTGTAGAATTGTAGCTATTTTTCATACACAGAATTTATGTTTTATTAATAAAATATATTCCACACATGATTTTTTCATAATTCATTAGATTCAACCAATTCAACTGTTTGAGCAAGCACTTCATCAAATTCAACAGATTCATTTTATTCGATCAATTACAATATTTCCAAACGGATTCTTAATTATTTAATAATAAATTGAGTAAATTTGAAATTAGTCTTACTATTTTTTCTGGAAATGGCTACTTTTTTGTCTTCCAAAATATTTTTCTTTATTTATAAATAAAGTAATAAACTATGTTTTATTCATATTTTTTGAAAACCCCTAAGATTAAGTTGATTCAATCAATTATGTCATATTTTGAGCAATTTCAATGTTACAAACAACTCATGTCTAATACATACACGTTATCTTGCCATTTATTTATGTATAACTGTATAAGCACATATATACTACAATTCTCCCAAAAATAAATTCTCATTTTCTTTGTTGGACATATTAGAATAAAGTTCTCTTTTTCATGTAAAATAAATCAGGGAATGTTCCTCAAATAGGAGTAAAATATTTTTGAAATTTCAGAATATGAAAATTATATTTTTCTTCTCAAAGTAGGAGTAATATGTCAATATTTACACTTTGTGATGCAAACACTCCAAACTTGCATATGTAATATAAAGAAAAAAATTTACAAGAATAATATCACATTTGACCAGTCTTCTCATAATACACGTACCTTTGCACCACATCTTTTTTCTTTGGACATTGACCGATTAATGACCTACTATACCAGGGTTTTTGTACTTTTTTTTTAAAAACTTACATAAATAATCCCACTTTTCACAAACTTGCTCAAAACAGTCCCCTGTTTCATTTTTTTCTCCCTTAAAATGTTTCTTTCTTTATTTTATCCATAGTCACTTTTTTTAATTTCTTTTTCCATCCTCTTGTTCTCATTTATTTTTCATATTTATTATTTCAATTCTCACTCTATTGGGAGTGTTTTCTTTTTGTAAAATTTCCTTCCCAAATACAATTTTTTGTCATTTTCTTTTTCTTCCTGTATTTTTATTTTTATTTCAATTTCTTTCTATGTGTTTCTCTTCTTAATCATTCTCTTTTTATTAAAGATCCATTTCTCACTCTACGTTTTGTTATATTTTCTTTTTATTTTCACTTTCCCCTTTCCTGTTCTTGTTACTTTTTTTGTGTTTTATTTTTCTTTACATTTTCTGAATGTTTTATTTTTCATGAAATTTTTTTTGTCTAATCTTTTTATCATATGGAGTTTTTCTCACAAATGATGTAATTAATGGGTGAATTTACTTAAAAATATATGATAATGAAGAAAGGAGAAAAAATATATTGATGGTGGAATTAAGTTAACAAAAAGGAAAAAGGGAAAAAGTGGAAATAAAAAGAAAATAAAATAAAAAGTAGCGTGGGAAAAAAATATTTAATAAAAAGAGAATGACTAAGAAGAGAAACATAAAAACGGTAATAAAATAAAAATACGAGAAGAAAAAGAAAATGACAAAAATGTATTTGGGAAGGAAATTTTACATAAAACTCTCCTAATAGAGTGAGAAATCTAACAACATTATAATCATGAACAAGGGTTGGTACCCTTGATTTATGTCAACGCATTATACGCATATGATATTGTACATTGCTTTTTTAAAAAGTGGGACTTTACTTTTCCTCTTCCTTGTCTACCCTTACCCACCGTTAACTATTTGTTTCAGTTAAATCAAAAGGCTTTTCATAACTCTTCAAATCGAACCACTGACGATGCTTTAGGTTGATGAAATTGAAATCATTATGTGAGCATCATCAAAATTATTAACAAAGAGTCAAAGACCCTTCAAGTCTAATTTTGACCAGCAATGTATCCTAGCCATGCCTACTCCCTTGCTCCCGATGATTAATGCCAGAAGCGCATTTCCTTGATGTGTATCAAAAGTTGGTTGAAGCAAAATGGAAAGCCCAGGCATTTTTATATACTTATATTGTATCGTTTTTTGTCTAAAAATGTAATAAAGTTAAACAAATAAATGACTTTTTTGTTCATTTTTATTTTGGGATGTTTGTGGTCTCGTGCTAAGAAATCTGGTTAAGTAATGTAACGTTACCATACAAGTGGCAATGTAATTTACTTATCTTTTGGTGGATTACCTAAAACTCCACTACTCCGGTTAAATAATTCTTTTCGAATTCAAGATATCATTATATCAATTGTGGTGTCCTGGCGGAATGTTTTTTGGAGCTTCAAATTAAAAAAAAAAATAGATACATGGTTATCTATGTAAGAAAAGACTCAAAAACTTATGTTGATTATCTTAATACCAATGCAACGAGATGTATAATAATTTTGATGCGAGTCTTTATATATGAGGAGTGTAAATTATTACTGGGGTAAAGAGTGTGAAATTATGTCCT